TTCCTATTTGATTCAATTCAGTGCTTTTAATGGGGCCTTACCAGGCCCTGTTAAGTTTTAAGGATGCAAGAAGAATGAGATATGGGCCCTGGCAGGGTAGCTCAGTTTTTTAGAACATCGTCCTAATACATCAAGGTTGTGGGTTCCATCCCACAACCAATGATTCACATACAAGAATCAACCAATGAGCCCTTGCTAGTGTGTCTCAGTGGGTTGAGTGCTAGCCTGCAAACCGAAAGGTTGCTGGTTCGATTCCCAGTCAGGACACATGCCTGGGATGTGGGCCAGGTCCCCAACTGGGGGCATGCAAAAGGCAGCCAGTCAATGTATCTCTCACACATCAATGTTTCTCTCCCTCTCTCTAAAAATAAATAAGTAAAATCTTTTTAAAAAGAAAAGAATCAAACAATGAGCCCTGACCAGCATGACTCATGGGGTTGGGTGTTTTACTGCAAACCGGAGTGTCGCCAGTTCGATTCCCAGTCAGTGCACGTGCCTGGATTGCAGGCCAGGTCCCTGGTTGAGGGCATGCAAAAAGTAACCAATCAATGTTTCTCTCCTTCTCTTTCTCCTTCCTTTGCCATCTGTCTATAAATAAATAAAATCTTTAAAAAAAGAGAATCAACCAATGAATGCATAAATAAGGGGAACAAATTGATGTCTCTTCCCTTCCTCCTTCCTTTCCTTCTTCTGTCTCTAAAATCCATCAGTCAATCAATGAGTAAGGAGGAATGAGACATGATGCCTGCCTTCTAGAGTTTCAGTCTAGCAGAGGAAAGTATGTGTAAGCAAACGCAGTGCATCGTGAGAAATGCAGAGTGGAGCAGGTGGGCAGTTTTGTGGGGCCTGACTTTTATACAATTTCCAGGGTCTTTTAGGGGAAAGGAGACCAAAATTAGGCACGAGGTCTTGGAAGGGTCCATCGTAAGTGGGGGCTAAAGCCCAAGCTTCCCTCACTTCAGGGTCAGTCCGCATGCAGGAGGGAGGCGGCCATGCAGTTTTTATTGATGGGTGGGTAGGGGCATTACGTAAGGGAAGGCAGAATGGACACAGTTTCAAAGGATAGAGTGTTAGCATTCAAACCCCATAAGCTGTGGCCTTAGACGATTAGCTGTAAGAGTGAGAAAGGTGAAAGGTCGGGAGCATCCAGGCACTCCATCCACTTTCCAAAGCACGCAGACAAAGCAGAGACCTTTGCAGGTGGACAGGGAACAGTCTTGAAATGTGGCGAGATGACTGGCTTCAAGCGGGAGCCTAAAGAAGTGTCTTCCTATGGTCTATTGGCCATGTCAGAACTAAGGAAATGTAATGGTCAATTCATGAGAAAGAAACATCTGAGTCATCTCTGGGAGGAAAAAAAAGGAATGTGGCAAGATGAATGACTGGGAAAGCAGAGATGCTGGGCAGAAGTGACTGATCACCATTTCTTTCTTTATTTGGACTAAGTAAATGTTCAAAGTTCAAGAGGTACAGAGGGTTTACAGTGTTGCCAATTTCCAGTAGTTTCCTAGATCTAACCCATGCATGCCCAAGCAGAATCTTAGATATAATTTTTTTAAAACACAAACAGTAGCACACATCACACCCACTGTTCTGCCTCTTGGAGGCAACAGAACATCTTGGAGACTGCTCTGCATCAGGGCACAAAGAGCACCCCCATTATTTTTCTTGAGTGCCGAATATTCCGTTGCAAAGCTCCACCCTGATGCACTCACGTGTCCCCTACTGCTGCGTACTCAGCCGGTTTCCACTCCTGCCGAAACACCACTCGCAGCTGGGAAATACCCTTCTAGGGAGGTTACTCTGCACGGGTGTGAGTACATCCCTAAGATAAATTCCTAGACGTGGGATGGCTGAGTCAAAAGGTATGTGCGTTTGTGTCTTTGATAGACGTTGCCAAATTACTCTCCCTCTGGCGACGTGCAAGAGCGTTCCCCTCACACCCTACCAGAGTGTGTCAGGCAGTGTTATCTTTGCTGACCTGAGAGGTAGAAATAGTGTCTCGGTGCTGGTGTAGCTGTGTTTATCTTATTGTGAGTTACCCTGAATATTTTTTCATTCAGAGCTGTTTTTATTTCCTTTGCTGGGCAGTCACCAGGCCTCTCTGCTGACCAGATTACTATTGGGTCATTAGGTTTTTTTCTTATTGATTTTGAATTGCTGTTCATATATTGAGAAATGAGTTCTTAGTGTTGATTCCTTTCATTTTCCCCCAGTGGTTCACCTCCTGGGATATTAAGTTGGTCTTTGGAATAAAAATAGCATTGGGAGGAATTGAGGAGCATGTGTCATGCCCCCCAGTTTCTCGGAAGGAAAAAATATATTTTTTTAACATTTTAAAAAAGATTTTATTTATTTATTTTTACAGAGGAAAGGGAGAGAGAAAGAGAGAGAGAGAGAGAGAGAAAGAGAGAGAGACATCAATGTGCGGTTGCTGGGGGTCATGGCCTGCAACCTAGGCATGTGCCCTGACTAGGAATCGAACCTGCAATGCCTGGTTCACAGCCTGTGCTCAATCCACTGAGCTACACCAGCTAGGGTGGAAAAAATATTTTAAGTGTAGGTAATATACAGGGTGGGGCAAAAGTAGGTTTACAGTTGTTCATATGGAAGCTACTACAATAATTAATAAATAACAATACAAGAATTAGCTGTTTGCCATATTCACAACTGTAAACCTACTTTTGCCCCAGCCTGTAATTTGCAATTATACATGAAAGTTGCTAATTATGAAACATCAGTCTCAGTTCACTTAACAAATGTATGTGGAGTGCCTGCTGGGTGCCAGAGGCTGTACTCGGAACTGAGATCACAGCCGTCACCCCCACGCTCTCACTCTCGGGAGCTGACACCAGGATGAAAGAGTAAGCAGAAGGGGTTATCTTGAGAGGGTGATAAGTCTTGGGAAGGAGGTGAAATGGAGGTGATGAAGGGAGGTGTGGTGATGGGCTGGTTGGGATCAGGGGGTCGTCTCCAAAGAGATGACTTTGTGTTAGGAGCTGAGTGACAAGAAGGACCCGGGCTAAGGGCAGGAACTGGAACTGCCTGGCAGAGGGAACGACACACGTAAAGGCCCAGAGGTGGGCGTTGGGGTCAGGAAAACTAGCACAGGCTTCAGTATAAGGGACTCTAGAGGTCAGGGAAGGAGTTCAGTTGTAGTGGTGTGGGCTACAAGGATCCCCTGAAGCACTGGCCGCCTGGCTCAGTGGGTTGAAGTGTTGTCCCTGTAGACCAAAAGGTTGCAGGTTTGATTCCTGGGCAGGGCACATACCTAGGTTTCTGGTTCCATCCCTGGTTGGGGTGCGTACGGGAGGCAACGGATCAATGTTTCTCTCTCACATCAATCTCTCTCTCTTTCTCTCTCTCCCTGCCTCCCTTCCTCTCTCTCTCTAAAAATCAATTAAAAACATATCCTTGGGTGAGGATTTAAAAAGCAAATCCATTGGCTCATCAGTGTGTGAGGGGATTCTGCTTTTTCTTTTGGAAATCTCCAAACTTAAAGAAAAGAGAAGATACAAGGAACCACACGTATCTTCAACCTGCTCAATAGATATCAATATTTTGCCAATCCTCTTTCATCTATATTCTTACTTTTCTTGGTGGAGGGGCTGGATTTATTCCTTTCCCTCTTTTCCTCCTTCATTCCCCTTTTAAAAAATCTTTTAATTGAAGTGTAACAAATACCGAAAAGTGTGCAAATCATAGGCATACAGCTCAGTGACGCTCACTAACTGAGTATGTGCGTCTCACTGGTCCCGGGATCCGGTAGCTGAACATGGCAGCTCCCTGGAAGCCCCCTGCAGTCCCTTTTAGTTTCTGTCTCCCAACGTCCAGCATGCAAATGGATCATGAAAGAGATCACACAGGACGTTCTTTACCGTGACCAGCTTCTTTCACTCATCGTTACATTTGGGAAGCTTCACTGCTGTGTGTCATTGGAGATTGTAGAGTGCTCCTTCTCATCGCTGTGGCATTCCACAGGACACAGTTTATTCACCCCATACATTGTTGGCAGGTACTTGGGCTGCTTTCAGATCTTGGCTGTTCCAAGCCATTCTGCTACGAGCATCCCAGCATGTCTTTTGGTGAACTCCTGTGTGCACTCGTGCAGGCTCAAGCCCAGGCATGGGCATTGGCTTTCGTAAATGGTACCTGTATTCATCTGTTAGAGCTGCCGCAACAAAGAACCACTGGCTGGGTGTCTTAAACCATGGAAATGTATCCTCTCACAGTTCTGGAGGCTGAGCCCAAAATCAAGGTGTCGGCAGGGTTGGTTCCTCCTGAGGGCTGTGAAGGAAGGGTCTGCTTCAGCCTTTCTCCTTGGCTTGTAGGTGGCCGGCTTCTCTCTGTCTTCACATCATCTTCCTCCTGTGAGTGTCTGTCTCTGTGTCCAAATTTCCTCTTTTTGTGGGGAAACCAATCGTAGTGGATTAGGGCCCACCCTAGTGACCTCAAGTTAGCTGGATCCTATCTGCAAAGATCCCATATCTCAGTAAGGGCACCCTCTGGGGGCCTAGGGGGTGGGGATTCCAACATGTGAATTTGGGGGGGAACACAGTTCAGCCCCTACCAGTGCCAAGATTTCCCAACATGGTTGTCCAGTCTCCTGACTCACGATGTGCTGGAGTACTTCAAAGTTCATTCCAGACATGATGCCACTTGCCTTGGGCGGCGTGTTTTAAAAGGAGGAAAGACTTGGTCTGATTTACATTTTTAAGCAATTCTATTTGATACATGGGGCTATAAGACAAGGCAAATATTTCACTAAGAAAGAAAAGTAAATAAAGAGTGAGCCCTCCTGGGATGGCCCAGGTAGGACACTCCGGAAGCCTGGGGTTGGGACAAACCTCCCAGGTGCCCTTAGCTCAGGGGTGCCACTCAGAAGCCCCACGTTCCATCCCTCCCTGCCTGGTGCCAGGCCACCCTGTGCAGCACCCCTGGAGGCTCGGGCGAGGCAGAGGGGCTCAGGCTGTCTTTCTGTCCACCCCCATCCCTGCCAGGACATACAGCAGCTCCTCCAGCTCCAGCAGCTGGTGCTTGTGCCGGGTCACCACCTCCAACCACCTGCTCAGTTCCTGCTGCCACAAGCCCAGCAGAGTCAGCCAGGTAAGGCCCCCATCTGATGGCCTTCCTGCTGCCCCCACAGAACTCCCCCTCCCTCTCACCCTGTGTGTCCCCCTTGTCTTCCCAGGCCTGCTACCGACGCCAAATCTATTCCAGCTACCTCAGCAAACCCAGGGAGCGCTTCTGACCTCCCAGCCCCGGGCCGGGCTGCCCACGCAGGTGAGTATCCCTCGAGTGCGCCCAGCTGGGCCAGCAGCAGGGCTGCAGAAGGCTGGGTGAATGAGGGTAGGGTTGGGGCTGAGGGTCTCCTCCCCCTTTGGCCCACCCCACAGCCATGGGGCCAGGACAGGTGTTGGGAGGCCTGGAACCCAGCCCTGTTCCACCGCTAATTTGCTGTGTGACCTTAGGGGAGCCCCTCCCTCTGTCTGGATCTTCCTCTGCTGCAGCGACTTTCCACCCATGCGCCGCAAGAATTTTTAAAACACGCAGTACCTGACTACTTAGTCAGGGGCACTGACCTTTTTCTTTAAGTTGTCAAATTAAAAAAATGACAACAGCCAACATAATAACAGCAGTCTGGTGTGAATGAATCAAAATGATGCCTATTTTGTTGTCGGGTTGGCAAAAAATAGTTATTTGGTGTGCTGCAGAATTTTCGCAGCTTATGTCTGCCATGAGATGCAAAAGGTTGAACATCGTTGCTCTGTAGAATGAGAGGAGTCAACCAGACCAGTGGCCCTTAACCTTCTAGGCACCTGGACTCCTTTGGGAATCTGAGGAAGATTTGGATCTGACCCTCACTGCCCCTGGCTGCGCATGTGCACAAACACAGGAAGTTTGGGGCTTAGAAAGCCCTTAGGTTCCAGCGCCTTGGGTCTCTTCCAGGGCCTCAGATGGAAGGTTCTCTGGGGAAGGGTCTGTTGGGTCCTAGTTCACACCCCCTTCCCAGACCAGGCACTGAAAACAAGGGCCCACAGATATGTTTTATTCGGCCCACACCATGTTTTCCAAATTAAATTAGTCGGCAAAATTCCCAGAAAATGCCAGATTCCCACCTTTTCTTTTCTTTTTAAAAATATTTTATTTATTTATTTATTTTTAGAGAGAGGGGAAGGGAGGGAGAAAGGGAGAGAGACATCAACGTGTGGTTGCCTCTCAGGAGTCCCCAGCTGGGGACCTGGCCCGCAACCCAGACATGTGCCCTGACTGGGAATCCAATCGGCAACGTCCGGCTCTCAGGCCAACACTCAGTCCACTGGGCCACAGCAGCTGGGGCATCCCACTTTTTCTTGACAAACCAGAAACTCTGGCAACACTGGTCGGCGTCCACAGGGCACGGTGGCAGTTGGCGGCTAGCCACTGGCTGGGGCATGGGCCCTGTCGGGCCGGCTGTGGGCTCTGCAGGCCGCCTCGGCCTCCTCCTAGACGTCTGGCCTCCAGCGTCTTTCCTCGTTTGTTGCCTGGGCTCTAGACTCTCGTAGTGATCTTTCATAGTCCTTTACAGATTTCAGATTTCCCTCCTACCCATTTTTGTAACAGCCCTTTCGAAAAACAATATGAACTATTTAGAAAGCCCTAAGAGTTTAGAGACTAATGGAAGGATTCGCTGAGATTCTGAAATCCAAAACTGCTCGGAAATTAAGTCGCTCTTGTAACATGGACACTAGAAGTCACTTGGCTGCAAAACCTGTCCTGACCTGATGCTGAGTGGCCAGTGGCTTTTCTTCTTCTCTCTCTCATGGTTCAGGCTTTGCTGAGAGCTGTTAATGTGTCCAGCTGCAGGGTGACGGTTTGATCCTGATGGTGGTGGCAGGGGGGTCGCATCATCTATGATATATGCCCCATGTAGGCTTTCTAAAGCCTGAAAATTTTCTTAATTCCCAAATATATCTGGCCCCAGGGTTCTAGATATCAGATCAAGGGCCTGTGTGACCACCGTCCCTGCACCCACCACCTGCTTCAGATCTCTTGTTCTAGGGAGATGAGGCATTTCAGAAAGAGCTATTGCTTCTTTGTAAATCAGTTGCCCTTCCCATCTGCTTTTTAATACTTTTACTTTATTTGCAACCTATCATTTCTTAAAAGGACTTATTTATTTATTTTTAGAGAGAGGGGAAAGGAGGGAGAAAGAGAGAGAAACATCAATGTGTGGTTGCCTCTCATGCGCCCCCTACTGGGGACCTGACCTGCAACCCAGGCATGTGCCCTGACTGGGAATTGAACGGGTGACCCTTTGGTTCACAAACCAGCACTCAATTCAGTAAGCCACACCAGCCAGGGCTCAACTTACCACTTTAAACCAAGTTTCCCCAACAACCCCACAGGGTAGGCAGAGCAGCTGTAATGGTTCCATCCTGCAAAGGGGTAAACTGAAGTCCAGGGAAGTTGAGGCTTGTCGAGTTACCCGTAATTCCGTAGCAGAGCCAGTCCTTGACTCCCTGTCCGAGAGGACTCACCGCCTCTAGCTCTGGGGAAAGAGCCCTTGGAGCAAGAACCCTCCTTCTGGGAGTTTCCAGGCTGGGAGGGAATCTGCAGAGAGTTCCAGCGTGAGAGGCCCCATGTTGGGCAGCAGAGTGTAACTTTTTAAAAAATATTTTTTTTCTTAATTTCACTTATTTTTAGATGGGGGGAGGGACAGAGAAAGAGAGGGAGAGAAACATCAATGTGTGAGGGATATTTGGCGTCATGGGACGACACCCCACCCACTGAGCTACACCAGCCAGGGCGCAGAGTGTAACCTTGATGAAACTAGCAGCCCAGTGTCAGGGGAGGGGACCTTTTGGGGGCCGGTGGGGGGAATCTGCAGGAAGAGGCTGGAAGGCAGAGAGGGAGGGAGGAAGGAAAGGGGGACTGCATAGCCATGGCTGAGCCCCATCCTGGTTCCCCCGTCCTGCATCCCACCCACCTGCCCACCTCACCAGGCCGTGACCCGCCCCATGCTGCCCGACCCGCACCTCTTGCACCCGCAGCCCCCCAAATGCCTGGAGCCACCATCCCATCCCGAGGAGCCCAGTGACCTGGAGGAGCTGGAGCAGTTCGCCCGCACCTTCAAGCAACGCCGCATCAAGCTGGGTTTCACGCAGGTCTGGGGCCACCTGGCTGAACCAGCGGTGGGCGAGGGGATGAGGGGACAAGACAAACTGGTGGGTGGGGCAAGCCCAGTACCTGAAACCCCTGCCCTGACTGCCACCCTCTCCCTGCCCCGCTGGCCCAGGGTGATGTGGGCCTGGCCATGGGCAAGCTCTATGGCAACGACTTCAGCCAGACGACTATCTCCCGCTTTGAGGCCCTCAACCTGAGCTTCAAGAACATGTGCAAACTCAAGCCCCTCCTGGAGAAGTGGCTCAACGATGCAGGTGGGACTGGGGCTCCCAGGTGGGTGGCAAGCACAGGGTAAGGGGAGGCTCCCTCTCATGCCCCTGTCTCCTCCTGGGCACAGAGACTATGTCTGTGGACTCCAGCCTGCCCAGCCCCAACCAGCTGAGCAGCCCTAGCCTGGGGTTCGATGGGCTCCCTGGCCGGAGACGCAAGAAGAGGACCAGCATCGAGACAAATGTCCGCTTCGCCTTAGAGAAGAGTTTTCTAGCGGTGAGGCCCCCGTCCTGGGCAGCCCTGAGGGCTGGTGGGAGAGTGGGCCGGGGCTAATGAGCCCTCTGCCCGCAGAACCAGAAGCCTACCTCAGAGGAGATCCTGATGATCGCAGAGCAGCTGCACATGGAGAAGGAAGTGATCCGCGTCTGGTTCTGCAACCGGCGCCAGAAGGAGAAACGCATCAACCCCTGCAGCGCGGCCCCCATGCTTCCCAGCCCGGGGAAGCCAGCCAGCTACAGCCCCCATCTGGTACCAGAGCCCCTCGGGTGGGGCCGGGGCCCAAAGCTCTGCCACCTCCTTGCTCTGCAGCAGGCACCGTGTGTGAAGCACAATCTGCCTGGTTATCCACAGTGCCCAGAACAGAAGCAGGGAGAGTCAGCCTTGTGGACAGGCTGTCACACGGGCAGAGCACCTGTGTCACACAGGGACACAGCGTTCCCAGGGGGCTGTGGTCTTATGTGGGGGGTACAAGTGCCCATACACATGGACATAGCCGAATAGAGTTATCACAGGGCACAGTCACACAGGGACCGACACCAGCTGGGGATGCAGGCGCACCACCACACAGACACAGGCAGGGACGTCATTACACCCCCGAGAGTGCACTCGGGTCCACAGCCACACACAGACCCACTCAGGACCAGGCACTCCAGGACACCCCTTTGTTCCATCCAGTGTGGAAAGGGCTGTGACACCACAAAGAGGAGCACCCTCCCCCCTGTGATATGGGGGAGAGAGGGACCGTCTGAGCCAAGTCATAAAGGGCAACAGAGTTAGCCAGGCCCATGAAGGCGGGCAAAGGGACTGGGGTCCACAAAGGCCTAGAAGCTAGAGTGGGTTCAGACCAACTTGAGGAACCCCAGTACAGTTTAGTGTGGTTGGAGCTGGAATGCATTGAATTGAAGGGGGGTGGGAGTTGGGGAGGGAGCAAAGACCCAAGTAATATCCTGAGAAGCTTGAACTTGAACTTTCACAGTGTGGAGCTAAGGAGGAGTTTTGAGCTGCGGAGGGACAGGGTCGCATTTAGAGTGAAGTTTCTGGGGATGATGGAGGGACAAGACTGGAGGCAGGGAGGCCAAGAAGGAGGCTGGTGGGTGTTCCCAGAAAACCAAGCCATGTGACATCCCAACTCTGATGCAGAGACACAACTAACCCTTAACCCCCCAGCACACACTTCAGACCCGTAACTAGATAATATCAAAGGAGAGGTGGGGAGCCCCTCAACTGGGAACTACTTCCTCCTGCCGGTGGCTCAGGATCCCCTAGGCTACATGGGAAGAAAGATGGAGGAAAGCACAACATACATGGAGTACAGTACCCAGAGCCCTGCTCCCCCATCCTGGGGGCAGAGGAGTGGGGGTCATACCCACAGGGAGCACCACAGGGGCTGCTGGGAGACAGTGGCCTAACCATGCCTTCTCTCCTCTCTCCCCAGGTCACACCCCAAGGGGGTGCTGGGACCCTGCCGATGTCCCAAGCTTCCAGCAGCCTGAGCACAACAGGTCAGGGAGGGCAGAAGTCGGTAGGGAAGAGCACAACGTAGACCTGAGCCTGAGGGTCTCAAGTGGCTCAGGGTGTCCATGGACCTCAGGGCTGAGCCTGGGGGTGAGGGGGCAGGGAGGATGGAGGGTGGAGGACAGACTCATCCATTCAGGCCATCGAAAAGCATGGGTTGCTGAAAGGTGATGTGCTTGGGTCCCATTCCTGGCATTCATAAACTCGGTGAACTCCAGAAGTGACTTTACCTCTCTGGGCCTCAGTTTTTATAAAATTGTTGGGAATGTTTAATGCATGTGGAAGCTATATGTGTGCATGTATACACAGACATATGAGTGTCAAATACACACACTTTTATACAAAGCCCTCCTTTCCTGGGGACAGGGCATCATACACCATACATAAGAACACTACTTTTAAAAACCCACAACATTGCCCTTTTTCAGGTTAAGAAATAAGTGGAGGTTTTGAAAAACAGTAAGGTGTGCCTGGCACTGTTCTAAATGCTTTTTAAAGAATGTTGATTCATTTAATGCTCATACCCATTACCCTCATTTTCCTGATGAGAGAACTGAAGGCAAGAGAGGTGAAGGCACTTGCCGGAGGGAACAGGTGGGATGTGACAGAGCCAGGAATGGCTGCCACGGCTGTCTGGCCTGAGTCTGGGCTCTGAGCCCTTTCAACCTGCCAATTCCAGAGCCGAAAGCCCAATCACAGCTGCACGCCCCTGCCTGGCCCCTAGAGGGAGCCATAGGGCTTTGCCTTCGGGGTGCCTCCAGTTCTGCCCCCACCACTTCCCCGCCCCCAGTTCTTGTCTGTATAAAAAGGAGCCCTGGGTGAGATTCAGGGCAGGCTACAAGGGGTGTTAGGGTGCTAGCACACACTGGGCACAGGGCACGGACTCAGTGAGTGACAGCTGCTCTTACTTTGATGACTGCGGCTGCTGTTACCAGGGCAGTGGCACAAAGAAATGGCCCTGGGAGGAGAGGGCGGGAGGCTTAAGTGGGCTCTGACTGAGGAGATGCTGGGAGACTGCGGGTGAAGGACGCAGGCAGGGGTCAACCCCAGGTTCCTGCGTGGAGGGCGAGTGCAAGCTGAAGTCTCCCTTTCTCTCTCTCTCCGGCAGTTACTACCTTATCCTCAGCTGTGGGGACGCTCCACCCTAGCCGGACAGCCGGAGGGGGTGGGGGCGGGGGCGGGGCCGCGCCCCCCCTCAACTCCATCCCTTCTGTCACTCCCCCACCCCCGGCCACCACCAACAGCACAAACCCCAGCCCTCAAGGCAGCCACTCGGCTATCGGCTTGTCGAGCCTGAACCCCAGCGCGGGGTAAGTGGGCAGCTGCAGGTGGGGAGACTGTGGGGAGAAGCAGGATCGCTGCTAGTTCCAGGGTGGGTAGCTGAGCCCCAGCTCTTCTGGCAGCCCTGCCCTTGCTAATGCCTCTGCTTTGCCTCTTGCAGAAGCACAATGGTGGGGTTGAGCTCCGGGCTGAGTCCAGCCCTCATGAGCAACAACCCTTTGGCCACTATCCAAGGTGCGTGCTGCCTCATGTCACTCCCATGGTCACCAGCCCCACCCCTGTGGGCCTCAAGCCCCTCCATTGCTGCTCCAGCCATGCCACCCTGCCCCTGCTCACTGCATTGCTCGCCTCTTCATACCCATCTCACCTTCGGGGAAAGTGTGAGGGCTGCTCATGGGGGTCAGTGGGGCTGATGGAAAGACAGGGCGCTGCAGGCAGGATGCTGAAAGGCACCGCCAGCCCAGCCTCTCTCTCTCCCTGCCAGCCCTGGCCTCTGGTGGAACCCTGCCCCTTACCAGCCTTGACGGCAGCGGGAACCTGGTGCTGGGGGCAGCCGGCGCCGCCCCAGGGAGCCCCGGCCTGGTGACCTCTCCTCTCTTCTTGAACCACGCTGGGCTGCCCCTGCTCAGCGCCCCGCCTGGCGTGGGCCTGGTCTCGGCAGCTGCTGCAGCTGTGGCGGCCTCCATCTCCAGCAAGTCTCCTGGCCTGTCCTCATCCTCCTCGTCCTCATCCTCATCCTCCTCCTCCACTTGCAGTGAGGCCGCAGCACAGACCCCTGGAGGCCCAGGGGGCCCGGAGTCAGGGTCCAAGCCCGAGTGAAGGCCCGCCATGCCTCCCCTCCTACACCTCTGGCTTCCACCTTGGTCCCTCGCCCAGGAGAGGGTGAGGAGGCCAGCGGTGGGGGCGCAGAGGGTCCTCGGAGCAGAAGTGACAAGGGAGGAAAGACCAAAAAAATCGAACAACCAAAAAAAGAAAGAAAGAAAGAAAGAAACCAACAACAAAGAAAACCAAAAATAATCACAACAGAAACCAGCTGCCCCAAAGGAACCAGAGGTGAAAAACAAACAAAAACCAAAAACAGACCAAAAATTCCCCCATAGAACCAAACAAACCAAAAACCAGTTGCAAGCCAGACCTCAGTGTGCTCACCCTCACCGCTATGACACCAAATAAGAACCCCCAGCCAGGGGCCGAGAAGCCTTGTGAGGCGGACCTCACGCGGAGACCCTGGCTGTGGGGTCCACCCACAACCTTGCCTCCCCAGCGGGGGCCAAAGAAGGAAAAAGAGACCGTGCCAGCCTCCTAGCCTCAGACCCCAGCCCTGGGCTAGAGAAGACAGGGCACGGCCTGGGGCGGAAGGGTGGGCTCAGAACCACCCGCCAAATGTTCCTTTCCAAGAAGGTGAAAGAGAAAGCCTGAACAACCTTACACCAAATATTCAGTAGCTTCATCCAAAGGATGTACAGAATTTTTAGCGTTTCGCTCAACAGAATGTGTCCCTACCATGTGTCCCTCTCTCCCCCTGGACCCCCAGCTCTCCTCACCCAGGCAGGGGGTCTCACTTTAACCTCCTCCCTACCCCAGCCAGGGGAGTGCAGGGGGAGGCCTGGGATGACTTTTCATCCCTGTACCTCCCCCCTTTTCCTTGGAAGGTTGGGCTAGGCCATTTTGCCAAGTTCTAGCTCTCACTCATCCCCCCCACCCTCACCAGGTCAGCCTCCCCTGCTCTGGGATCTTCCCCCTCCCCAGCCCATGGGAAGGTGGAAGTTCCAGGCAAGAGGGGAGGAGGTGAGGGCATTCAAGTTGTCTTTTTTTCCATCCTTGTCTGTCAGTTTCCCTGAAAAAAAAAATCATATTCCAGTGCCTATCCGTGGAATCCTTCACGTTCTTTGACATTGACCAGAAACCAAAAAGAGAACTCATTCACTCCCCGCCCCCACCCCATGCCCTTCTGACACTGGCAGATGCCTCTTCCTCTCCCCCCACACACATGCAGACACGCACGCACCCCAGTGGTGGGGTTCCTCGAGATGGCATCCCCATCAGGGTCCATGTGGCGGGGACAGTGCCGTGACCTGTGGTGCCCATCCAAGAGGGCACTGTAGTGGCAGTGCTCCCATGAGACTTCCCTCGGGTCTTGCCTGGATCCTGTGTTTGCTCAGCCCTAGACACATCTCGACAATGACAGACAGAGGGGAGACACCGCTGGGAGCCACTTTGCCCTCCTGCTATTGTGGAGGCCGACAAAGTTTTGAACCAAAAACAAAAACAGAAAACCAAACAAACAATAAATTAAAACTAAAAAAAAAGAATATATATATATATATATTTAAGGGAAAGAAGATGAGGACTCTTAAAGTATAAGAAGGAGCCGCGAGGCGGAGCCAAGCCCTGCCCCAATGGTCCAGGCCCTTGGTCCCTAAGGCGCGGATAGAAGGACGGATGCTTCTTTCTCTTCACAAATACCTCATGGACGTCGTCTTCGGGAAAGCCGGAGGGGGGGCGGCTGGGGCAGGGCCTGTCCCTCAGCCAGGGCAGATGGAAGTGGGTGGGCAGGGCTGAGAGAGGGTGTCAGGGACTGGGGTAAAGAGCCCCATACTCCCTGCCCCACCCCAATCAACCGAAAAAGCTTTAAAAAAGGAAAAAAGGAATAAGAAGACAAAAAGAATGGACGAAGGAAAACTAACAAACTTTTGGGTGGTTTGATTCCTCCTTTGATTTCTTTTTCTATTCTCTTCCATCTGTCCTCTCTCCTCTGTGTCCTTTCTCTCTGCTCGCCTCTGTCTCTGTCTCCCTCTTCCTTCCTTCTTCTCTTACCTCTCTCAATCTTCTTCTTTCTATGTCTCTCCTCAAACCAAAGTGTTGCTGTGAAGGACACGAGCCATGGAAATCAGAGTGGCCCCGCCCCTCACTGGGCAGAGTGTAGCAGAGGGAGGGGAGCGCCCTGGGAGACAGTGCTGCTGGACACTCCGAGGAGAGGCAGATAGAGCCTCGGGTGCCACCCTAAGGCCCCAAGGCCTCAGTGTTCTTTTTCTCTCGTCTCCCTTCTCCCACCCGGGAAATGAAACTGTTGGGCTGGGCCACGGAGGCAGCAGAGACTCGGCTGTTGCGGGGGTCTGGGGTGCCTTGTCTGGGCAGCAATGGGGTGGCCACCCCTATGACCCTGGCACCCATGACGGGGCCTGGCCTGCCATTGGCCTGTCCTCACCGGAATGTAAGCATCTCCGACTCCCTGCCCTCACCCTACCTCTGAATTTGTCCATTATTATTTCCTGAAGAGAAGAGACTGTTGAGAGGGCCTGGGCCCCAGCCCAAGGGTGGAGAGGGGGGCCAAGGGCTCCTGAACAGACAGTAAGGACATTTGAGCAAAGTTGAAGGAATTACAACCAAAAACCCCTCCGAGAAGACAGGCAGCATGGAAGGCATGGTGGAGATGACTCAAACAAAAACTATGATTCTAGACCAAAAAAAAAAAAATGCAAACAAAAAAAAAACACAAAAAAAAGAAAAGAAAAAAAAAAGAAAAAATGGAAAAAAAATGAAAAAAAATCCAGGACTCACCACCACCCACTTCATCCTGCTTCCTCCCCATCAAGTCCTGCCACCTGGGACCTCTCCCCAACCCGTGTGGGGGGAGTAGTGGGGCAGACAGCAGAGGAGGAAGTAGGGACAGGGATGGGCTGATGCCCTGACACTGGTGGAGGGACCCCCATGCAGACAGGGTGGTGGGGACCCTCCCCGTACAACCCCCATAACTGGGAAAATAAAAACAAGAATAAAAGGAAATTCCTGGGTGGGGGAAAAATAACCAAATCCCAAGCTTTAACTACAGCTGTGAAACCAAATATTGGGAAGGGGGTGGGAGGGAGGGGCAAGTGTGCCCCAGGTCTCCCCCCGGGCCCCCTCCCCCGAGGACTCGAGATAAGGCACCAAATACCTCATAGAACTTTAATGTTAAAAAAAGGAAACCAAATATCGTTGGCTGGGGGCCAGCCAGGGCAAGGGGCTGGGGGGCAGGAGGGAACCAGGGTTGGGAAGGTGATGGGGGAATTCATGCCTCCCACCCCCCTCTTGCCCCTTCCACTCCAGTCCCCCGTCTCGACTCCGGGAAACAAAACTATCTCATCGTTTTTATTTTGTGGTCTGTACAGAGCCTGTGTCCGTGTGTCTGTGTGTGAACGAGAGAGTTGGGGGGTTGAGGGATATTATGTGGGGGCTGGGGGGGACTCCAGGCCAGGCTCTGGGCTAAGTGAGATGAGTGAGGTGAGGGGCCAGGGGCCTGGGCTAGAAAGAGAGGAAGATGAATGGATTGGAGAAAAGGGGTGGTGAGTTTCTTTTCTCCAACTATGACCTCTTGCTTGAGGGAGGGACAGAGATTGGGTCTATCCTAACGGTGGGCCTTTTAATTGTGCCAAAAAAAAAGCGCCAGTAACTAAAACACCTGTCTCTGTTCTCTTCTAGGAGGGAGGTGCTGGGTTGTAAGTAGGGGTGGGTGAAGATGGGGAACCCAGGCCCCTGTATGAGTCGGGGCTAAGATCAGGAGGAAGGAGAAGGATATGAGTTTACCACACTTCTCCCTGGGAAAGGCCAAGAGAAAGGGTCTCCAAGCCCCACACCCAAGCCAAGTATGGGGGTGACCTCCTGACCTGACTAGATTTCCTCACCCACCCAGATTCCAGGCTGCCTCCCTCCCTTTTAGCCCAGGGTAGGGGGAACTGAGTGAGAGAGTGAGACAGACTGAGCAAGACTGAGACACGCGGGCCCCCACTGGTCTCTGAGTGGGAAAGGCAAGTGCGAGAGATAAAGGCCTCCAAGACAAAAAAGAAACAAACCAAAGATTTAACCATTTAAAAAAAAAAACCCACAGACAACTCCGCTACCTTTTTATACGTTGGAAAAAAAAAGCGAAAAAAATTTAAAAATAAAAATTTTAAAAAAATACACAAAACAAGCCGCAGTTCCTTCGTTGCGGTTTGAACTTTGACCTCAGCAGTCTCCAAAGCAAGATGACGATGACAAAGGCGAAACAAAATAAAAAGGAAAAAATAATGTATATTTTTAAGTATTTGTCCTTGAGATGTTAGCTCCTTGTTAAACACAAAAAGGAGAGAAAAATCCAGACAGAAGTGTTGCTGGGACGGAGACAACTATTTACTATGTCTGTGACCCCCTCCCCTCTGCCTCCCCCTTCCTCTCCCCTCCCCTTTCCTCATCCCTGCTGCCTCTCCCCCAGCCTGTACTCCACGCCCAGGGGCTCAGTATTTATTTATTTATATAATTGCAGGGTGACTGGGGGCCTCTCTCAACAACTTGTAGAGAAGGCCTTTGGATCATGTGGGGAAGGGGGAAGGAGTCTTTGGGGAAAAGCAGGGGCCTGATCTTCAATCAACTCCTCTCTGCTGGATCTTTACCGGCTTCTTATCCCACTGCTGCCACCATCACCTCCCAAATCCAAGGCTGCACTAGGGCTAGGTAACTCCCCCACCCACCATGTAAAGATCTGATTGGCTCAGCCCTTGCTGGGTAGGTGTTTCTCACCTACTCATTTGATTGACCAGGTTGGAATGGGGATGGGAGACCAAGAAGTGGCATCTGGAAATTAGGCCCTGGAGACCTGCCTTTCCTCCATTCTCACAAAGTTAGCCCCCCTTTTCAGTTCTGTCTGACTCCTGTGTTGGTAGCCCCTCCCTTCCCATCCTGTGCCCCCTTCCTGTCTCTTCTCGTGGTAGCGGGTTAGCGTTTCAGTGTTCTTAACTCCAATCTGCTTGTTCATTGTACAATGTGCTTCTTTTAAGGCCCCATTTTTGTAACTTGAGTGTGTCATTCATCTGAACAACATCAAAAAATAAAAAATTAAAAACTGTACAGAGAGAAATGATGCCTGCTCTCCCTTGGTCTCCTCTCTGTTCTTGGAAGGGTGGTGGGGAAAAGTCAGGGTATGGGGGGTGGCTATGTATGTGCTGGGGTGGGGAGGGCTTTACTTCTGTTCAGTAAACATTCACTCAGAAGTAAGGCTTGAGCAGATTTTTAGCCAATCAGGAAACCAAACCTCAGAACTTAGAATGAATTCAAATTCCCGAATTCAAATCTCAGTTCTGCCATTTTATAGATGGGACCTTTGATATGTGAGCTTCAGTGTCCTCATTTGTAATAGTGACAATACCTACCCTGGAGTTATAAAAACTAAATTATATAAATGCTTAGGACAGATCTCTAGCACAATGAGAACCCCCACACACACATACACGTGCACGCGCGCACACACACGCACGCCAGGAAACCAGTTATTTTCCCCACTTCCATCCCCAGAGGACTAACAAAACCCTTTAAAAACTGAGGACTTTGAAGTCATCTGGTGAAACAAGGTACATGTCCTTCTTTTTTGGACCGACACTCACTCAGATTTCTGTGCCCATACTAAGTCATTTGAAAGGAACAGCTTCACAGGATAGGCCATGACTAATCACCAAGACCTCACCACTGAAAACCAGAAATGTTATCACAAACTGGGTTTTCTCACTGCCATCAGGTCTCTTTGTTCCTGTTCCACCCTGTGATGTGTGGCACTCAGGTGTTGGGATTCTGCATATTCAATAGTGAGGGATGGGGGAAGAGGAGAAGTGAAGAGGGCGAGTTTTGATCATTTAAAAAGATAAAAAGTATTAGCACTACATCATTTTGGTAAGACTCAAAAACAAGTCAGTAGGGATGGTGGATGTGGTGTTGGAATGGATGCTCAGAATACCCTGAGGAAAGTCACTGGGTCCAGCTCCTGTTCTCAGGATTTAGTCAGAAACCATAGACCCAAAAGCTCTTTGTCACTCAGGCCATCCTGTGACAAGCACAGACGCCATACCTGAGAGCACTCGAGCTGAACTAGGCATCCACCTGTAGCCCCGTAATGTGCCCAACCACTGCACATGCCCTACCACTGCACATGCCCTCTCCTGGACAGTCATACTTGGAAGTAGAGGGCCACTGTTCTGTCCCCTCAACAGTTCTGGTCATGCCATTTTCATATCCAACTATAAATTGGCAGTGCAAGGGCTCTTAGAGGGGTCTGCCAAGTGACCTGCACCAGAACTAGTGTGCCAGGGTCTCACCCACTCATGCTTGCTGGATCCAAATCTCCAGGAGGACTGCCTAACGCATGTTCAAGTTTGAGAACCTTTGCCTGTGGAACTCAAACCCCAGCATCCAAAAAGGGTTTGGTTAGTGCCATCTCTTTTGACAGGCTAAACTGAGGACTATGGAAATTTCAGCAGGGTGATGGTGAATGTGTCTTGTCCATAAACTTGTTTACATACAATTTTCCTCAGGGTGGGAGCTCAAAATTTCCTCTGGAGGCTCAAAAAAAAAGAACCACAGTAGAGGAAGGGTGATGACCTCACTGTCATCAGGCCTTTCTTCTCTGTTGAGAGGATCTTTATCTTAGGGTCAACCAGCACCTGAGGTTTTGTTCTCCATTCCCGTCTTTTTTTTTATTCAGCCTGACTTTTGGCTGGTTTTACAAGCATAAATCCTCCAACTGTCCTAAGTACTGATTTGATACAACTGTCAGAATGTTATAGGTCTTTGTGAGAGGAGGCAGTTTGAGAACAAAACTTCACCTGGAGACTAAGGGGGGGGAGGTCTAGCACGCTGGGCTAATTTGGCTCGAATCCTTTCTGCAGGGTATGAGATTACTGAAAGATGGTGCCTAGGACCAATTCACTCTGGTTGAAAACTGCTTAATAGGTAACTGCTCTTCATTAGGAGCCCTCAGGATGCCAAATGAGTGCTTTTTCTTTTTAAAAGTAACTAAAATAAGCATAAAACAGCAAAATCTCTACTGGTGGTGTTAGGAGACCTGGTTGCTAGCCTGGTCCCATCACTTGTGTGTCCGTGGTAAATCTCTTCCCTCTCACCCAAACCACAAGATAACCCCATCTGTCTTAGAGCTCTGGTGCCCTAGGGCCCCTAGAGGAACACATAGGCCCAATGGGCAGCAGAGGCTGAATGGAGAGCCCTTGAGCCTCCTCTTCCCCTGGTTTCAATATAGCTTCCCTTTTACCTCTCTCTTACTAGTGTTCCAAATAAGAAATCTAACAAAAAGACTGGAGTAATCACGGGGGGAGCTTGTTTTCCTTGGGGTATGCCTCTCACAAACAAGATTAAAAGCAACTAAACATTCCTGCCAGTCACACACGCTATCTCCTTTCCCCACCATCTTCCAAGTATGTAGAAAGCAGCAGAGTGGAGGGCAGCAGAGTGTAGAAGAAAGCATATGGGCAATTAAACCAAATGAAATTAGGCTTAAATTCAAGCTCTGCCCTCTCTGGGTCACATGACTTTGAGCAAGTCACTTCACAGTTTTCGACTTCAGATTTTTTCCCTGCAAAATGTTTTCTTCACAGGATCAGTCTGAAAAATATTCCAAAAAATACAGGAAAGTACTTGAGACAAACCAGACATTCAAACATCAGTCAGCCACACCAACCACCCTTCTCCCAACACACATCTGTTAGCTGAGCCAGAGACTAACTCCAGGCTGGTATCAAGGCATCTCCCCGCCCCGCAGTAACCCTTAGAATCTTTAACTCCACAGCTGGGTCTGGTCCCAAGAGCCACCCTCCTCTATTGCTGCTCGGAGACCATGCCTTTTCCAGACCTGCAATGTGCCCAGAGGGATCCACAGTGAGAAAGTAGACGGCCCTGGGGGAAAAGACTCTTATACCAGGAAGTGCAGGGAAGTGCAGGAAAGCGGTAGCGAGAACCTGATCTGCCCCAATGTTCCCACCACCAGCAGAAATGGCTCCAGACTTTTCT